GCTGCACACACATGACACTTGTCCTTGTTAAACTGCATCCTATTCTGTTCGGCCCATTTCCCCAGCCTGTCCAAATCAACCTGGATTCGCTCCCTGCCATCTGGTTTGTGTATCTCTCCCCATAGTTTGGTATCATCAGCAGACTTGGACAGGGTGCTTTCTACTCCCTCATCCAAGTCACTAATGAAGATATTGAATAGTACCAGTCCCAGGACAGAGACTTGGGGGACTCTGCTGCCCACATTTCTCCAAGTAGAAACCAACCCATCCACCACCACTCTTTGGGTGCATCCCATAAGCCAATTTTCCACCCACCAGACTGTGTAATAATCTACATTGCAACTGTTTAGTTTATTTATAAAATTTGGGTGTGACACTGTGTTGAAGTCCTTCTTGAAATCTAAATAAATAACATCACCTCTATTCCTTCATCCAAGCATTTTGTGACCTGGTCATAAAATGAGACCAGGTTAGTCAGGCAGGATCTGCCTGCTATGAACCCATGCTGATTGCCTCTTAGTATAATTTTACCTGCTACAAATGTGATCCTTAACAATTTTCTCAAAGGTGTTGCCAAGGATAGAGGTGAGACTAACCGGCCTATAGTTACCTGGTTCCTCCTTCCTCCCTTTCTTGAAAATAGGGACCACATTGGCCCTTTTCCAATCCTCTGGAACCTGTCCTAAGCACCATGAGTGCTCAAACAGTTGTGCCAGCAGCTCTACTATGATACCAGCTAATTCCCTAAGTACCCTAGGATGAAGATCATCAGGACCTGTTGACTTAAATACATTCAATCCCTCCAGGTGCTCCTTTACTAGGTCAGCACAAACAGTTGGTGGGCTGGTATCTATACTGGGCTTACCTAAGGTCCCAGTGGGATGCATATCTGTATTTGTGTCCAAGAATACTGATGCAAAGAAATCATTTAGAAGATCTGCTTTGGCCATCCTATCTGTTACCAGTTGCCTTAGTTCATCCTGAAGGGGCCCTAAATTACCCTGCACGTTCTTTTTGCTTCCTATGTACTTAAAGAATGCCCTTTTGTTATCCTTGACTTTTGCTGCCAGCCTAAGCTCCATTTCTGCTTTGACTCTTCTCACTGTTTCCCTGCAAGCTCGAGCCAAACAGGTATACTCCTCCTTGGTGGCAGCCCCCTGCTTCCCCAGCCTGTAGGCCTCTTTTTTTCCCTCCAGGCTCTCCTGGATTTCCCTGCTCCCCCAAGAGGGTTTCTTTGCTTTTTTACCCCTTTTATGTGTCCTGGGATAGTCCTTTTCTGTGCCTGCAGGATTAGTCCCTTAAGAAATGCCCACCCTTCCTAAGCTCCCATGTCCCCAAGGATTTTACAAGTCAGTCCCTCCCTAACTAATCTCCTGAGCTTGTTGAAGTTGACCTTCCTGAAGTCTAGCACTTCCACCCTGCTAGTTACCTTCCCCAACTTTCTCCAGATAGCGAAACCTATGAATAGGTGTTCACTATCCCCTATGTTACCTTGCACCTGCAGATTCCCCACCAAGTCATCCCCTGTGGCCAGTACCAAGTCTAGTAAGGCATTTCCCCTAGTGGGAGTGTGTACCTCCTGTGAAGGTCCTGTATTTGAAGAACTCCTTGTCCAACTAATTTCAAATTTTGTATAAAAAAAATTACCTTTGACCAAGATCTAAGCTGCCAGTTTAATTGCACATATGGTATTCTCATGGGTTTAATAGGAGGCTCAAAATTGAGCTGTTCTGTGTTTTGGGGGGCTCTTATCTTGCCTTCAGCACAGTGATACTTGAGAACATTCCAACTGCGCATGAAGTGATCTGACTAACTTCTGTTGCATATGGTTTGTAGTGGTCCTAACTTCCTGTGGAAGTTTGTCCTCCAGTCCTTGAACTAGCCATTGAGAAATCTTTATTTGCTACAGGGACAAACCTTGCTCTGGAACAGAAAGTTCAGTTGTGTCTTAAGAGGAATGCTGTCAGTCACAGGGATCTTAGGAAGATCTTTTAGTTTTCTTGGATCTGGGAATGATGTTTAAGTTGGAATAAGAGTACAGTGAGTGGGGACAGGTGTGATGTGTTCACAGTAGTTTGTGTTGTTGAGAGATACACTGTAGTCTTCTTCTCTGGTCAGTGCAGCTAAAAGCATAGCTCCTGAATAACTCCTGAATAACTCTTGTGGTTAAAATAATAACTCAAGAATAATGTTAATGCACTAGCAAACCCAACTGTGCAATTTCTCTTCCCTAACTCAGGAGAAATGAGTGAGCAGACGGTGACTTATGTGGACCTTAAGTTTTGCACTCTTCCAAAAGAGAAGACCAAACAGAAAGGAAAACCAAGCAGGATCCCAGGTTTGCTATGGCTCATCTGATTTTTTGGACCAACTTAAATCTCTTCCTTGAATGTGATCTCACTAACACTAACATTATATATCATGAATGCATTAGGATTTTCTTGTGTTAATTATCGGTCAATGCCATATTGCTAGATTTGCTCTATCTCTTTAGTGTCAAGCTATTCCTCCATGAATAGATGCTATATTCCAGTTAGGTGCCAGTGGTGCCAGGTTGCATCAAGAGCTTTAGATAAGCATTGTTTAATTATAAACTAAAAACCCTTCCTTTGTGATTAAAATGAATGGAGAAGCTTTGCTTCATGGCCATCTTTGCTCACAGAATCAGGAAGGTGATGGTTACATTGTTCATTGTTGACTTAGAGTCTAACATAGGCCTGCTTCATTCTGTGCATAGACTCTATCTGATTGGTGATTGTTTTCATGAGGCATGAACAGGTTCCAAATGGTTCACACCCCAGCTTCCTTTCCCAGACAAATGTAACAATAATAATTAAAAATCAACACTAATGCAATACAGAATTTCAAGTACTTATAACCATTCTATAAAAGAAATTAACTAGCAGTCTTCAATTAGTCTCTGAGGTGCCCTGTGGAGTGAGGTGCCCCAAGGCATGAGATTGCATTCTGATCTTCTGGCAGCACCAACAAGTAGATCTGATTGTTCCATGTCTTAGAGCTCAGAGGCCTTCTCAACCTGCCACGGCTCTTACCTGTCTGAGACCTTCTTGAAAAAAATGGCTGACTCAGTGCCTCTTGTTTCCCACTCCTTTGGGTTTTGGAAAGTATCACTTGTTCCCCTGAAATATTTCTCTTAGGTATAACAATCTCAGAAGATTCCTAGTTAAGTCTCATGACCCCACTCTTGCTAGCATCATTTCTTCTTATAACAGATATACACAGCATCATTTTCATAAAAGGGTGGGGACTTCCAGGACCTTTGGTCATACAGAGTTTCTTGTTTTGCCTTATCTATCTCTCCATATCACTGTAACTCATTTCCTAGCAGTGCAGGCATTCTTCTCTCATTTTTTCTATAGAACAAAATCTTGGTAGCTATCAAAGAATGTTTGGATGGTACTATTCTGTAATTTAAATGTGCTAATTATGAATTAATGCCTATCTGCAGTAAATCAATATGAATCAATGCCTATCTGAGGAATCCTGGTGACATGTCTAAGACCATTTTTCATTGTGTTGCCCTGTGGGGTCAGGCCAACTCTTAGGATCTGAATATTTCACTGTTAGACAGGAGGGTGTGACACAATTGTATGTATACAAATACACAAATCAGTTAGGTGCATACACACGCACACTACCAGCTCAGGCACATACACATTCAAACTAGCCTAGGCACATGCATCATTATCACCAATTCAAGCACCTACACTATACACCCCCAAAGTTAGACACAGATCACTAATTCATATATCATGCACACAATGCCATACACACACACACACACACACACACACACACACACTCACACTAGCAACTCAAATACACACACGTTCAAAATAACTAGTCTAGGTTCATGCACATTTATCACTAGTTTAAGCCCATACATGCTACACACACCAAATCTAGACAGAATCAGTTACCAGTTACCAACACCTGCACATCCAATACACATATGTAGATTACTAATTCATATACCACACATACACACAATGATATCTATATATGTATATATATGTGTATTCACACACATACCACCCACCTACACATATACACAAGTGAGTTCCTAAGTTGAGTGTTGTGATGTGTATGTATGTGCTTGGTATACTTGGGATACCTGGGGAAAGGTTAAGGTAAGAAAGTAGAAGTGTAGGAAGTTAAAGTTATCAGGACCGGGATTAGAACTGGTAGACTACAGGGGCCTGGGCTGAAGAACTGAGGCTCGGGGGTAACTTTAGGTTAATTGATTAAAAGACAATGCCCAAAGCCTACAGAACAGGGGAGTATGCCGGCACAGAGGCTGGGACTGGAGCCAGAGCTATGGGGGAGCTGAAAAGGTAGGTGGGGAGAGGGAAAATGGGACTAAGGGAAAGTATGGGTGTTAAAGAGGGGCTCTGGATGTGGGGAGCCAGAGGATGGCTCTGGGACAGCTAGAGAAGTTGCAGGGAGTGGCAATAGGTGCTGGGAGCTGGAGAAAGGATAGGTGGTGTGGCATGGCGCTGGTCCAGATGGAGAGGGCATCCCCCTGGGTCTGTCTTCACTGCCCCTTTTTATAGGGGCAGACCTTGTGTGACCCTAGTGACAGGAGGCATGCCCAGGCAAGGGTCAGTCTGTGGTTCCTGGATGAATCAATGCGAGGTGATGGCCCAGTCATTACCATTCAGTAGAGGTCTGCTACCATTTTATATCAATCATTCCCAATCATTCTCATTCATCTGGGAACCAATTTACATGGGAGCGGTACGTGACTCATACAGTTGCAACATGGGATGCCCAGGCACAGGACACAATATGGAGGCTTGACATATAAAATGGAAACTTGTCATGACTTTGGTTCATTTACAAACACAGGCCTAAACCATATAATATCCATATGAAACAATAAAATCAATACGAAAATGATAATAATACAATATATAACAGTAAGAATCAATACAAATCTAATAATAACACAATATAAAACAGTGGATATCCAAAACCAAAAACTTGCTACCAAAATAAAAATGTTTAAAGCTTATCATAAGTCTGAGCTCACTTATACTTATCTATAGGGAATAGAGAGGAAGAGAAAAAGTCAGCAATGGTTGGGGAAGGGGAGGGAATGCATTTTAAAATAAATAAAGAAAAAAACAGAAAAAAACTGGGGGTTTTGCTACAATTGCAAAGTGCTCAGTTTTATGCCCACAAATCTGTGGTCAGTTGTCAGGCATTTCTATGTCCATGTCTTCTGAAAAAGATTTACTATACCAGATGCTACTGTTTAGCTGTAGTATCTGATTGTCGGTCTGTCTGGGGAAAGTGCAAGACTTTATTGGCGAATGTAAACACATCTATTCCTAATTTGCTTCAGTGGGCAATCTTTTCCTGTACCACCAACATAGCATATATTGATACACTTGGCCTTTAATTTTGGCACAAAGAACCAGCTTTCAGAGCTTCTTTAATGAGACTATTCATTTGAAGCTAGTATAAAATATCCCTAGCCCACTGCCTCAATTTTTCACTCCCAAAGTTATTTTCACATAAGCTTTTTAACATATTTTCTGTAACACATTAATAATTGCCAACCTCATGTCTTTAAACATAATCTTATCAAGTAGTGAAAGGACCTGCTACAACTACCAGGGTGGGAATAATCTCAGAGCCACCTGTGCTAAAAGCCTTCATTTCTTTATTTATGGACTTATTATCAACAGTAGTTCTGGCAATCCAAAGTCCACATTACTATGTAATTAGACAGGTGCTTTATCTCACTAGCAGGTATGTCATCAGTAGGGATCTGAGTTTTCCTTTTGCCATGGAAAAATGAGGTAAAACCTGGATGTGATCATTTTTAGGAGAAAAACCCAGATTTTCTCCTTTAACGGAAAAAAAATGGGGGAAGGCAGGTTTCCCCTTGCAGCCTGGCAGAGTTCCAGCCTGCATGGGACTGTGGGGAGCAGGAGGAGGGCCATCAGGTGGGGGGTGCCATGTGCATGTGTGCACTAATGCACATGGCATCCAGGCAGCATGAGAGCAGTTCCCACAGCTCATCGCAGGTAAGTCTGGGGGAGGGGGGAATTGAGGCCCCCATAGTGAGGGCAGGAGTTAGGCAGGGCTGGGTCTGCTACCCATCCAAGGTGGTGCATGTGGCTTAAGGCCATGTGAACTGAATTGAGCTGTGGACAGCTCATCCGGGAGGTTGTGGGAGGCTAGCTTCCCACTGCTGCACATATTCCTGGGGGAGTGGGGAACATGCTCCCAGATCTGTGCGCAGGGCAGGGGTGGATGTGGGCTGCCTGCTGTGGGCTCAGAGCTCAGAGCTCTTCACCCTGCTGCCCTCCCCCTAGGGCCTCCACAGCCCAGCAGGTGGGACCCAGCATGGCAGGGCAGAGCGGCCCGAGTTGGGCGGGGCGGGGTGGGTGGGGGAGCCCCCCCCTGCCGCTGGGAGCCCTGTGCCACCATGGCAAAGTGCCCCCTGCCACCTGGCAGCAGTGGGGATGGCCGCACAGCATTGTGACCCTGCTGCTGCAAGGCAGACAGAGGGCATTTCTCCATGGCAGCATAGGGCTCCTAGCAGTGGTGCAGGACTCCTTCCCCACCGATCTGCTCTGCTGTGCTGGATCCCACCTGCTGGGCTGCGGAGGCCCTGGTGGGAGAGCAGCAGGGTGGGAAGCTCCGTGCCCACAGTGGGCAGCTCGTGTCTGCACCCCACACAGGCTCCACTCCAGCCATGCTGCCTGTGGGGGATGGGGAGCCCAGATTCATGCACTGCTTCACCACAGCAGCCTCTGCTTCCCATGGGCAGGAGCTGGAGCTTGGGTGCTGTTGTGGGGGGGGAGGGGAGGAGGGAAGAGGGCTGCAGACCTGGGTCCTTGGCCCTGTAGTCCTAGCAGCTGGGGGCCTCTTCCAGCAGGGCTGGAGGGGGTGGGGGGCTGTGGGTGGGGAGTAAGGGACACCAGAAGGACCAGGGGACTGTGGGTGGGGAGTGAGGGGCAATGGCACAGGCAGGACATCAGCATATCAGGGTCGATCAGTGCCACAAAGGAGTGGTCAGGGGGACAGCCACAACTGGACCCGCATCCTTGTGAGCAAAGGGGGC